AAGTTAGTATATCTTTATAGCATGAATAATAACACACCTTATTTAGTGGCACAGAAGTTTGAGAGTAACTATATTGCCCTCTGGTGTACTGAGTTTTGTTACTTTAAGACTAATACATGAGCGTATTTTAAGTATGTTCAGCCAGGTCATACTTTGCCCAAGTGCTCATGTACTTGCATAGAGAATGTTTCTAGTCTAATACAGTCTACAAACGTGCAACTGTGCAGTTATAGAAAATCTATCAAAACCCAGTATCTTTCTTCTAAGCCTGTTTTACATTCATTAATGCTTTTTTTTTAAAAGTTTAGAAACAAACACACAATTAGGTGTATAACTACCAAATTGGCTGTGGATTAGCAATCAGATCTAATTAGATCAAATGTGAGCTGTGATGTTGTTTTATTGAATATTTTATCAGTGAGATATGTAAACACAGGCGTGATCCACTGAGCTGTTTGCACGTGTGTGTGTGGTCGTGCGTGCTGTGCTTGGCATGCCATAGGTGATAAGGGAACCAGAGTGATGACATTTCTCTTGATCCAGGATGAAGAAGCATCAGCTCATGCATGCACACACGCACATATGCTTTAACAGCACATTTAGGTGTCCTGCAGGTTGCAATTTGAAACGTGAGGCATAAATTACAATGATATCCCCAATAACTCAGCGGCAGCTCAGCAGCCTGCCATACAGATTGAGTGTCAGGTACAGAATAACTGTCAGGACAGATGCAAATAGAAACATATGGAGTACAAGGTATCAAGAAAAATGGAGAGATTCCAAACAACTACACAAGTCTTGCATTGTGAGCTTAACTGTGATATTTGTGGTAAGAACATTAGAAACCATAAGTAAAGCAACTCTTTTAAAGGGGTTAGATAAGTTTATATTCTGCCTTTGTTGAATCCTTGATTCTGATTGTTTGACACATTTTGCAGGATATTGATTAACTTTCTTTGACTACATGGCTATAGTAGTTTCAGGTTTATAAAATATATATCATATAATATTTTAATTTATGCCCTTTTGGGGAGACATTATGTGGAGGTCACATGCATACGCAAGTGTATAATTCACTATCTAGTTGTTTATTTTAGTATTATTTGGTTTAAGAAAAATATGACACTTCATTAAATAGTAATTTTAATATTTTAGTTTCATATTACTTAAAGGGGTGGTTGATTATGTTTTCAGATTCTATCTTAGTGTGTAATGTAATGTTGCTGTATGAGCATAAACAACATCTGCAAAGTTACGACGCTCAAAGTTCAAAGCAAAGGGAGATATTTTCTTTTAAATAAATTGCTTTTTAAGGACTACAACAAACGACTGGTAGGAACTACACAAGCTTCCTCCCGGGGTAGTGACATCACTAACCCTAAAATTTACATAAACCCCGCCCCCGGAACACAATTTATATTATCATGACAGAATATGCTAATCAATGACTAGAAGATTACTACACATAAGCTACAAACATTCATCAACTAACCATTCAGAAATGTTACATGTAATCACTTCTTCTTGAGTCTCTCCATCATTGTCTGACTCCCGTTTGAACATAAAAGGCTAAACGTTTTTGAAATTTTCAGGGCATGTCTGTGTGAGTGCAAGCTGTTGAAGCTCCGCCCTCTGTGCCGGGAGCAGCAGCTCATTTGCATTTAAAGGGACAGACACAAAAACGTTGCGTTTTTGCTCCCCCTCAAAAAGTGACAACTTTAACATGCTATATAAAAATATTGGTGGGGTATTTTGAGCTAAAACTTCACATACACACTCTGGGGACATCAGAGACTTATTTTACATCTTGTGAAAAGGGTATTATACCACCCCTTTAAAGGGTAAGCTTTGTAACTGTGTGGCAAATTAATTTATGGGATATAATTACATATAGGCTATAGTACTATATTTTTTCTATATTTTTGCTTTTCATCTATGTTACTATTTGCATATTACATGTATAATATTTATATATAAATTATATTTACAAATAAATTATATTTTATATGTGATTTCGCAAGAAAGTTTTATTACTCATAAAAGCCTAAAAATATTTTAACTGTTAAACTGAGTTAAATTATAAACAAATGTGCCATTGATTATTTAGAAGCATCGTCAACATGGGATTAGGAGAAATTACAAAACCTAGAGCAGAATATTAGGGTGTTGGGCTTGTGTACATTGTACAGCCTATTTAGGATCTGCATCCCTTTATTCTCCTCATTTGTTCACACTCTTCAGGTCTATGATGTTGATTCATTTTTCACTTAAATACGGATGAAGTGTTTTTTTTGCTGCAATTTGTGCTGAAACAACTAAGAATTCACACAGACGTCACATCATACACACACAATCTTGCCAGACTAACTTTAGATCCTTAATACTGTGATTATGAGTCATAGGCCTTAATTCTTTTGCTTACGATGGGTGTGACGATCATTAACTCGCAGTGTTGAGGTTTAATGTCTGTTAGCACCGTTGTCTCCCTGAAACGTTTGCACACGTAAGCCATCTCGATTTCACCTCCCGAGCATCTTTAGTGACCTCATGCCAGATCAAAATTCAGAAGCCCATCAGCTGTTGTGTTGATCAAACGTCAGATCACAAGTTAGCTGGGCAACAGGTGCGACACTGGCTCTATTCCACAACACAAACAGGTGCTATAGACGCTTGGTTAATAAATCTAACCGTACTGACAGGTTCTGACCTCAACAACAGTAGCCATGTTAAAAAACACCTCTTCGGGCTTTAATGGTTGTCAAATTAATGTTAAAAATGATTTTGTTATACAAACTATGGTACCTAACTCTATACTGTATTTTATTTACAATTTATTTAAATGGTTAGTTCACCCAAAAATGTAAATTCTGTCATCAATTACTTTTGTTCATCTTTGAAACACAATTTAAGTAATTTTTTTTTAAGAAATCTGAGAGATTTTGGTCACTCCATTGAAAGTCTATTCATCCTAAACTCTGATGCTTCAAAACGTTCATAAAGAGATCATAAAACGACTCCTTATGAATCGAGCAGTTTAATCCAAGTCTTCTGAAGAGACACGATCACATGATGAACACATTTGATTTAGGCTTTTATTCACATATAAACACTGATCAGCGAACACACAAACAGAAACTCATCCGTACTTGCTTGACGCGAGAGAATCAACTTCATTAGTTCTTGTGGAAGTGTGATAAAAGCCTAAATTAAATCTGTTTTTCATATAAAGCGATCGTCTCTTTTCAGAAGACTAAACCGCTTGATTCATATAGATTTATTTTATGATCTCTTGATCTCTTCATGAACATTTTAAAGCGTCAGAGTTTTGGGTGAATAGACTTTCATTGGAGTGATAGATTACATTAGAAATATCTTCATTTGTGTTTCGAAGATGAACGAAAGTGTTTGTAACAACACGAAGGTGAGTAATTGATGGCATTTTTTGGGTGAAGTAACCCTTTAATGGATATTAATAAACAATATTTAATACAAATGTTGTATCTATCATATTTTGTTAATATGGCAGACTGGATGTTTCTCTTTTCTATGTATTAGTAGCTCTTACTGTAGTTCCACTAACATCTAGATTCATGTTCACTTTACACCACCACCACACGGTTAATGACGACCCCAGGGAGCAAATGTGACAAAATGTCAGATGCGAGAACCAAAACCACAGCTAGAGATGGCTCGATTTAGTCTCGTATCATTTTATTAATCTAACACAGAGAGGCCTGTTCCCTCCACATGGTGTTTAGTTGCAGATTTGTTACATTGACGACTTGGATATGCATTCTCATATACGGTATGTTTGAAACCGGCAGGGTTATAATGCCAAAATACGATTCTGATGCTTTATGTTTCTGATAAAACCACTGGCACATGGCAAACATTTTTTTAATTGCACTTCTGTTGGTGTTTCTTCTAATGAAGGAGATTGATGATTGACTTTTGCACGACATTTGTAGTTCGGATAATGACGATACTTTAATGCTGTTGACGAACTTTGGTTAATCCAAATATGAGCCAATGAGCAAGAACCTTGTGCTGTTTCCTTATTTCACCTCATGTATTGTGGCTTTACTGCTAAATCACTTGATTAACATAATGTATGTTGTTACTGTATCTTTGAGGTTTCAGTCCAACCCCAGATAACCTGAGAAAATGTTTGCTTGAAGTGTAAATATCCATAACTCCAGCATCTATATTGTATTATTCATGGTAGAAGTGCCAGGATCATTTTAATACAAGTTTTAAGGTTAAATCGCAATATAGATTCAAACACTCTTCAAGGCAGTTTCATGGAATTGACAGTCTTTCTTCCTGTGGTAAGCCGTGGAAACATTTCACGCACTTGCTTCTGTTTTTAATTGTATGTAGAAACAGGAAGAGGAAGTATGTTGTAGTCTGTACTCTCTCCTCTATGACTGATAAGCTCTCTGTCGGCTGTCAGGAAGAGCTTGTTCGAGGGGAGGATGAAGGAGACAGATCGAGCTGCTCGCCGGGTATTTGATCAACTTGTGTGTCTTCTGTCATGATGTGTTTCCTTACGTTTATAGCCTGCTGTCTCCTGAACATGCAAATATTGAGGCGTCGAATCATTTTCTGAAGAGTTCGTAAAGTTTTTTTCAGTTCAGATGTGTTTCTGTTTTGAGAGATTCAAATGTGTTTATTGCACAAGACCTTTTTGCACTCTTGTGGTTTTTTTTACTGGGTTTGCAGTCTATGAAATGTTTAATTTTTGTGTGTATATAAGTATAGATTTGTATTTGTGCACTTTTGACGTACAGTTGATGCTTTTTCTGAATCTAAATGTACAGTTTATCAGTCTTTTCATTGTGTAACAGTGCAACATTATATCCCAATAATTGATGAAATGAGTTTGAGTATTTTTAACCCTCTTTGTTAACCTGTTGTTTAATTCAGAGTTGAATCAGAGTCGTTTTGATCCTTTGATAATTGAATATATCTTCATCTTTGACTCTATTTTTTTCTTCTAGTGCTCCAACTCAAACTTCAGCAGAGACGGACTCGAGAAGAACTGGTTTGCCAGGGGATCATGCCACGTAAGAACCACTCACACTCTCCTAGTAGTACTAGTTAATGGTCTGTTGTTATTTTGCACTTCTGTTAGTGGATCTTTCTGTAGTACATCTCAAATGTTCTGTTCCTTGAAGGTGTTTTTCCTTCTTTTGCACAAGTTTCGTCACACCTGGCACACGGTTTTCATCCTTAAATGAATCTGGGTAAAATGTAGTTGCTTTGTGGTTAAACTTAGCAGATATAGCTAGTCTCTGTCATCCTGTCTAAGATGCTGATTTGGTTTGGTAAACATAAGATAGAGTCGAACTCACTTCCTTTGTGCTGTGGTTTCACAGAGCATGAAAGGTCGGCCCATTCATCTCAAAACTACAACTTTTCTGCTTAACTGTCGGGTCATCGTTATTCTAATGGTGCCTACGCACTCGATTTTGTCAAAAATGTTTCCATCCTGTGTTGGCTGGAGATGTATGATTTGATTTAAGTCAGTTAAAATTAAAAGATAGTTTAATTTGAAGTTAAACGAGTACCTAGAGGTCTCACCCACACACAGATCCCAGTGTATGTTTGAATACACATACTTCAAAAGTAACTCAGCTTGAATAACTCAACAAATCTCTCACTCTTTTCCTTTTGTACTTGTTCTCCTTCACCAAATCTCATATAGAAGAATGGCCAAATTATATGTAATTACTTGAGTTACATCTCATAGCTAAGTTGGTCATTGCTAAGATGTTGTGCAAGCAGATTTTTTGACATTTGGAATTCGTGTCTGCTGATGTTATTTGGGACTTTTGTCATTTTTAAGCCGTTTTTGGATCAGTGCACGTAAGCAGCCAGGTTCATGATGGTTCTGGTATGCTTATAAGTTTTTTTTTTTAGTAGTTGTCAAGTTTAGCCAGGTGAGAAGTTTGAGTCACGCCATTCTATGTCGGTGGTGAGTCTGAGATAGTCATGTTAAGCGTCTTGTTCACACATAACTGAGACTTTAACACTAAACTTCCCTCACACAGGATGCAGTTTAAAAAATGCAACTCTTTTAGACACATAAGCCGGGGACGCACTAAAACGCCTGTAAGACCAATTAAAAATGTAATTTGATATATACGACTGGACTGATCATGCCCAAAACCCGCCAAGTCAGAGAGTTGCGTTCAGTCGGTGTTCTCAGTCGGTGTTTAAAACCTGCTGCAGTCGTTGCGAACAGTCTGTTGTGTGTTCAGTTCAGTCTTAGAATGTTTCAGCTAGTCGTTAAGTGTTTCGTCGGCATTAAAAGATCTGAATATTTAAAGTAATTAATTTATCAGCCTTCAAGAATATTATAAACACTTTTGCATTGACTATTATGGGTTATTCTGATGTACTCCTATAATAGTTGTACACAGGGCTTGACATTAACAACCAAATGCGGGTGGATTTCAGCAGTGATGTTTAAAGCAGTCACTCCTATTAGCCACTTTGGCAGGTTGAATTTTATATAATATACATTTTCAACTGTAGTCTATTAATAATGCATCTAAGTGCAATCTAGTGTTGTCAAAAATAATGATTTTTCGGTATATCGATACTGAAATATTTGAAACTATTCTGCAGGATACACAACACAATTCCAGCTGCGCGTTCTCGCTCTCTAATCTCTCCGACAGCGAGTGACACAAACCCGCATCCCTTTACTCACTCGTTTCATTTGCTCCGGATGAATATTGTTGGTTACAGGGCTTGAATTTTGCCATGGGATTGCGCGTATTCAGCATAATACCCCATGTTATCTAATGATGTAAAAATTGTGAATTTTTGTGAATTGAACAGTGAAAATGCTGAGTAGCTAGTAACTTTAGAAAACCACTAGCCACAGTGGCTGGTGAGCAATAAAGTTAATTTCAGGACAAGCCCTGGTTGTGTATTAGATATAAACTTCTGAGAATATCTAGTGGAGAATAAATAGTTTTATAATCCAAATGATCGGACTGATGTGATGCTTGAAGCTATAGAACATAAACCATTCCCTTGCTCTGGCCCTTCATCTGAATCTGAATGTGAGTTTGCATTTTGAATATTTATTTAAAGGTCTTAAATTTCATTCTTTCAAATGTGTAAGTACCCTGTAACCATGTCATGTTGTCTGTAACCATGTCCCCTGTAACCATGTCATGAGATCTGGTCTAGCTAATCAGAGATCTAAGAGCCATTTACAGTAGGAAATATGATAGTTTAGTATTTTAGTTTACTGTTTGAATTGGTAAAAAAAAATTGATGTCAATTTATGTTTGTTTTGTATTAACCATTGGTTGTGTGAGTGGCTCTTTAAGAAGCCACGTTGAAAAGTGGAACCACCAAATGCTTGCTTAATATCTCTTCTTAGAATCATCTTAAAAAGAAAAAGAAATGAAAAGCAGAAACAGAGGGTTCAAATGAGGTGGTGCTGCCCTTTAGTAGTTTTATGTAATACTTCATACTGGTCCCATAATATCTTCCAGCATCTGTGATCCAGTTTGAACCCAGTGTCTGCTGATATCAGCATCTCACTTGGCAGTGGCACACTGACTGGACTGTCAACACTGTTCAACCAACAACAATAATGCCATAGAAAACACAGTCTAAGAAGCAATTTCCTTTATTATCTTATCTATTTTTTTATTTATAATTTTTTTATTTAATTGGAGTTTTTATACATTTATTTTTAATACAATGCATACAATTAATCAGCGAAAAAGGAGGTTTGGGAAACCTGTTTGAAAACAGGATTCTACTCGTCTCACGTTAGCCACTCTACATGGGCGCTCGCTCTAACATTAATGTTAACCTAGAATAATGTGCGCATATCTAAGTGTTTGTGTGGAGAGTGGAAGCTAAATTAGTACAGCACTTGCAGCATGACATGTTTAACTTCACGTGTATTTCTCTCTGTAGACGCTATACTGCGGATATGAGAGTCAGTGTCATTATCTTTGCTGGCGACATTGAACATTACATATTAATAAATATATTTAACCCTTAAAGACCTAGAACATTTTTGGGGCACCTGACTCAACTGTCTTTTTCTTTGTTTTTCTAACCATTATAGCAGTCAGCATCAAGTGCCATATATCATTTTATAAAACGGATAATTCGCGTCCTTGATTCTGATTGGTTGAGCCGCGTTCGAAGCCGTTGTAAATTACTCAACAAATATACACCTGTGACCGCATTACATTAGTATTACTGCGCAACTGCCGTTTGTGATTCTTTGTGGCTGCATGTGTTGCTTGGCAACCTCTTTAGAACTACATTGCTTGGCGGAGGAATAAATGTGTTATAACGTTATATTTTTTTGTTTGTGGTGTTTATTTTATGAATAAAATAAATATTAAAATGAATATTTTTATGGAGTAACCGTTTTATAAAAGCAATAAGCCCCTTGAAGCCGTGTCCGCTTCGCGTCATGCTTAACAACGCCCCTTAGCTGTTCTAAATTCACTGTAAAACACGGCTTCGCTTATTGCTTTATTAAACAGGAGAACTTGAAGTTTCAATCTAGCTTATTTATATTCCCAATTTTACATTTATTTTGTCTGGGAATGGATGAATTTACCAGATTTAAGAAAAACAACAGTTTTTTTTTTTTTTACTCCACTCAAACAGAACCTCCTAAAGTTTGGATTTTTTTTCCTTTTAGAAAGTTATACTTGGATATTCTAGATTTCCAGATGAAATTTTGTCTACATGTAACAATCCCTAAGCAAGTTATAGCCATTTATTACACCATTATTAGTGTTTTTTATTTACTGACAATGTAGATGTGTCCAAAAAAAGTTCAGAAAGTAAAGTAAATAGAAACATTGTTATATAATAATAGAACACTGGATCAAAGTGCCTTTATATATAACTGGGACATTGTGTAGCGACTCGTTTGAAAACATACATTTCAGTGCCTCATCCGATGTGTAAAGCAGTTTTGTACTTGTTTTTGATTTATGTTATCCTTTGTCAGAGAGTGCTCTCATGCAAATCTGTTATTTTGTGTTTGTTTTCATGCACGCAAATATGCATGCACACACACTCACGCAACTACTTTCAATTTGCGTCAGTTAAAATTTCCAAAGAAAGATGCTAATTGGTGGTGCAAAAGACCAAAACCTATGTTTATTGGTTGAGTAGATGATAGCTTCAACCAATCTGGGGACGGGGGTGGGACTAAGAATCTGTCCGACTGAGACACACGCGATACCACAGAAAAGCAGGGAATCTCCTCTTTACAAGACTACAAATTGGATATGGGGTTCAAAAGTTATTAAACCTTTAAGAACAATAGTTATTTTTAGCCACGTGTGACTATCTCGGTTGTTAAGGGTTAAGTAATTAATTAGTATCATAAACAAGCAAATAGTCGACTAATGGCTTAAATGAACGACTACAAGTCGACTAGAAAAATCTTCTACAAAACATGAGTCTAGAAAGCATGGGTCTAAGATGAAGATATTTTGTGCGCTCTTACTCGTTATGAGGGCATGACTAGCCATGCTCTTCATTGGGTGGGTTACACACACACACACATACTCGGTTGAGTCAGTGAGCAGGTGATAAGCAGTGTATTTAAATACATGCCATGTTTCCCATTATATCTGTTAGTAAAAGGTCAGACGCCTGCTATACTCATCAAAGCCATTTGCTGTCCAAATCCTTTTGATTATACAAAGCTAACCACATACTCTGTAGAGAGAATATAGCAAGTTGTTTGGATAGAAATGGTCTTTCCAAAATAGAAATAAACACCAATGACAGCAGATGGCAACTTAAAAGGGGATCTTTACAGCTCTCACCCAATAACTGTCTGGATCTAAATATGGATCCCAAGGGGAAGGGAAAGCCACCAGCAAATCTGCAAATGTGTATCTGCTCTTTTAGAGTATTCCTAGGCCCTACTTTCACTGTCTTCTCCCTTTCACTTCCTGTGTGTGTCTGCACTTCCTGTCAACTTGAATGCCCTATTTCACTCTTATCTGCCTTGTCTGATGATCACCCTTGACTGCGTCGACATGCTTCCCCC